TTGCAAAATTCGGAATCCAGGAAAACAGCCCAAAAACAGTGGAAAAATAGAAGATTTCTTGGATGAAAACACTCACAAACACTTCGATTACTTAAATATCAAAAGACTTACAAGTTTCCACGGATACAATGCTCTCAATTCGAGAAGAGAAGCTTTCTCTCAAGCCCTAGATTAGAAAAACCTAAAACAGCCACCAAAACAAGATCCCTCCAAAACAAACCTTAACTCCCGTTTAACCCTCACATGATCCCCCCAAAATACCCTAATTACCCCTAGGGCAAACAAAACAAACTCCCTCTTACATTTGGTGGGCTCCTTGGGCCCACCCGACTCCTCCCTCTCCTTCGGCCGAACGCCCAGGCGGGCGTTTTCTCCGCCTGCAGTAGGCGAGAACCGGCCCCTTGTGGGCTGGTGCGGATGCGGGATGGACCGGGCGGTCCGGTCCATCACATGCATGTTGTACTGAATTCTGGGTGATCATTTGCATTTGTTGTTATTGCGTGTTTCATCTTATCAATTTTTGGTGATCCTAAGGAAATTTTGGTCGGTCTTGGACATTCTTAATTATTCTAAATCGTCTTACTACCTTAGTGCAAATTGGTTCAATAAATATTATCTTCTCTAACTCCAATACATTTATTACTCTGCGTTCTACTCTGGGGTTTACTGCAAGTCTAAATTTGCATCTCCACCTTATTACCTGTAGAAATTTGCTTCAATACTCTTCCTATATAATATGATTTCTGTAGCAAGATTTTGGACGAGTGATCAATCACTATGGATTGTGAAAACTATCTTAAGAAATACTCAATATAAATATTAATATTTTGATCATTACATCTTAAAGTGATCCCACGTAGGCTGTTGAATTTCTTTGGTTGTAGGGTCAATCCTATTAATCTATGTGGCATGACTCCTTTCACGTGTTGACAGTTAATTCAGGATTTTAATGGTGCTTTGACTACTAATTTGTGTCCTGATCTTATCTTCTTGGCTTGGCTTGTGTTGAAATATTTTATGAATGAAAGCTCAGTAGCTCACTACTTAGTTAATAATGTTCTTTGAAAACTATGCAAACGCTCGAGTCTTTCTTTTTGCAGGGGACCTGAAAATATTGGAATGTGTGATTAATCATTATGGTCCTCAAAGAGCCTAATAAAGATTCATGGAGATGGGCTTTAGGCATTGTATATATAGTTGCAGTTGCATCAATATGGATTGCTGCTAGTTATATTGTTCAGACAGTGGTAGATGAGGGGGTTTCTCCTTTCTTGTTAAGCTACATTTGCAACTCTTTGTTTGTGGTTTACATTCCCATTGTTGAAATTACACGATATTTTGAGGATACAATTTCTAATCTATTAGCCAAAAAGCACAATGAACCATCCATGCAAGGATCTTGCTATCCAGAGAATGCAAGTCTTTTGCTAGGAAGTGATAAAGAACCAATCATAATCGGTAGTCATCCTAGAGAACCTATTGCATCTGGAACTGAAACAAGGATTCAAGATATAGAAAGAATTTTTCCCAGTCAAGCTGATGAGTTTTCTCCTGGAAACCCAATTAGTAGTACAGGAACGCAATTGGATTCAAAAATGCGTTGGACGCGTACTCAAGTAGCTAAAGTCAGCCTTTTGATTTGTCCGTTTTGGTTTTTTGCACAACTCACTTTCAATCTTTCTCTCAAGTATACGACTGTCACTGTAAGCTTTTCAACTTATTTCCCTACATTCTATCACTTTCCACATTCCTTTATTGTCATTTTCTCAATTAATTTACTTTGATTATGCAGTCGAACACCATCTTAAGCAGCACGTCTAGCCTCTTCACCTTTCTGGTCTCTGTTGCATTCTTGGGAGAAAAATTTACATGGGTAAAGTTAGTCAGTGTTCTTCTCTGCATGGGAGGTACCGTGCTAGTGAGCTTAGCTGATTTGGGAGTTGGAGTAAATGCTATTGCATATAATGCTGTTCTTGGGGATGCACTTGCACTTGTTTCAGCTGGCCTTTATGCTGTTTACATTACTCTCATTCGGAAAAAGCTACCCGATGAAAATAAGGGAGAAGGTCATGCAAGCATGGCCCAATTTCTTGGATACCTTGGGTTATTTAATCTCTTAATTTTTCTTCCTGTTGCACTTTTTTTAAATTTCACCGAGATAGAACCTTTCCACAAGCTGACATGGAGACAATTTGGCCTCATTGTTGGAAAAGGTATGTATGACCTCCTAGTTTTCGCTATGTTTGTTACTTGTATCTACACTTGAGGGTAGCTCAGGTCCTTATCTCTTTTTTTTTTTAAGTGTTTATATTTTAGTTAGTTAAGAAGGGCATATGTTTTCTTATGGTAATCATGTGAGGGCATTCATAGGTATTTGGCTTATGTTCTCTTTTAAAGAAGGCTGGACTAGTAACATATGTGTGCCACTTGGTGGTGGCAAGGCTTGTGGAAACAGAATGTTTCAAACCACTTATTTATGCAGGAGCATCTGCGGTGAATGATTTGATGAGCACAAATTAAATGGCACTGAGATTGACTACAAAGAAGGCACAAAGATTGCGTTGTTATATCATAGCTAGCTCCATATAAGACCAAAAATATATGTATAATATTAAGAAGCCACATAAGTGTAGTTATAAATAGGACTAATTTTTCTAAATAGGCTCTCCTAATTCCCTCCTAAATTAGGTCTCTTTTCCTAAATAATTTCTCTCATATTTGAATTCAAATTAGATCTCTTGTCCTAAATAATTTCCTCTCAATTATAATTAAAATTTTCCTAAACAATTCCACTTTGATTAAGAACCTTCCTAAACGGCTTCCTCTTGGTTAGGAAACTTCTTAAATCCCTCCCAATCAAGTCGGTCGGTTCATCAGTGAGTGAAGATGTAATGATAAGCGGCCTGAACATTGATGTTCTCCTACCAATTGTTTAATCTAGATTTTGCCACATGTTTTTGATAGGGTGAGGGGGAATCAGGGAACTAAGTGCATCTTTTATTAAGTCAAAAGTATACGTGTGACTACAAATTTTTATTTAGACAGAAGTATGTGTTTTTTTTTTCTCCCTTGGATATTACATTTATGTCATAGAATTTTCTTGATTCATTCAATTATATTAAAAATTTGTCTGGCAGACTTTTGGAGGGGAAACGGAAAGAAAGAAAAATTTAAGGTCAAATTAGATACATTGAAGATTAAGTTAATGTTATAACTCCCGAAATTTTTCATATGTAAGTGTTTGTTCTAATATGTATTTATTTTAAATAGTTCACCCTTTCCTCTTTAGGAAGTGTTTTTGGATTCAGAAGTATTATTACATCATCTTTTAACTTCAATTTCACATACCTCCTGTTCACTTGAGAAGCTGATTTGTAATTTTCATAATTAATAGTCTTTTTTTTTTAATATGCATATTTAATTTATGACACATTGTGCGAATGATTATGCTAATTCGCTTGGTCTAAACTAAACAAGAAGTTCAAGGTTTGTAGGCTTTCTAGGTTGAAACCCTGTAGCTATTCCCAATGAACTCATACTTGTTGACTTTTGACGAATGTAGCTATTCCCAATGAATCTTTTTTCTCCATTGCATGCTAAGATCAGATTCTCTTTTTTAGCCATTAGTAATATCATATTCGAATTAGATATACACCCTTTTTAAGTATAAATTTTGACATATCACTTGAGCTCCTATTAATTACTTCAATTTGTCATCAGTTTGTTGGTAATAAGTAGTTAATTTTAATTTTTTATTTTCATAAAGTTGTTCAATAATAAATAATAAATTTTACATCCTTGCCAATCATAATGGTTTTAGATATAACCACTTTATTAAAATATACTTTGGCTGGGCCTTTAAAAAAGCTGCTTTAAGACCATTCACCCCAACTGAATATGTAGTATAAAATTGAAAATTTTTATACTAAAAAGCTATTTTAAGAAACAGTAAGAAAGCTGTTCCAAATGAAACCTATAATTTGTTATTATGTTACTACGCTATGTTTCTATCTTTTGATTTTTTTTCATATTGTAGTGTAGATAGATGTAAATATGTCGATATGCTTGATTTGTGTAATCAAAATTTTAATTATTTTAGTGTCCTATTGTACATTTTGCATATTATACTCTCCTACCATGCATGATCAAATCAATTTTTGATAAGTTTTATAAGCTAAAAGATTATTAGGATATCTTTAATTCTTCAAAAGCTATTGGTATAATCTTGATCTTATAAAATTTACCCATGCCACTCTTCTTCTACTTATGGAGGGACAATGCACAAAGAGGCATGGGAGTATCTTCATATTTATAATGAAAAAAGTCACATTTATTTTAATATTCAATTATTAAGATTAATTACTATAAAATTTTTATTCATAAACTAAGCATTTATATTTTCTGACAACGATGATATGTATATACTATATTAAGCAATTTTAAGAGAATTTTAATATAAATAAACAATTGTTATAATTTTTTTTTAAAAAAATATAGAGAGATGATTATAATATTTTTCTGATTTTTAAAGAATATTTTTTAGATAAATAAAATGTTATTTTAATATTAATACCAATGAATTGAGGTGACATTTAATAATAACTAATACTATAAAGTGAGTTATCAATAATATTAAAAAATTCAATGATATGTTAATAAATAAACGCTATATTAATTTGCTGTATAATTTAAGAAAACCTTTGAAAATCTTATGAAATTTTTTAATATTACTAAAAAAATCCTAGCTTTTAACTTCCCTCAACTGTCTTATAGTTTTAATCAAATTTATTTTTATTTGGGCATTCATTTTTTCTTTCTTTAAGCGTTTCCCTTTTTTTTTTTCCTATCATAATTTATATTACAATATTAAGATATAATTTTGTCCTCTAAATTCTGATATTTAACTGGATCCCTAAATTCCCCCCCTAAAAAAAAAATTAACTTGATAAATTGATAAAAAATATATATTATTAAAGTAATTATGCAAAAATCTTGGAAGTCAAGTCTTCTTTCACCAGAATTACTCAGTCTGCAGCTCGAATCTTCTCTTGGCCCTTAACTACCCTCAACTTCTCGACTGCCGTCGCCAAACTCACACTTTTATCACCCAAATCCTCCCGGCCACCTCTCACTCTCTCTCTGCGATTCTCTTTCCCCTCGTTTTCTTTCTATCTGCTTCGATGTCAGAATCCAGAGGACTCTGCAACTGCTGCGCCAAATTCCTGATCTCCGCCGGACTCACCGTCCTCATCGTTTGGATCTCCTTCCGCTTCATCAGACCCCGCTACTACATCGTCTCCTTCGACCGCCCCACCACCAACTCTTCTTCCCTCTTCGCCTCCTTCCAGCTCGAAATCGAGAACAAGAACCGCCAAATCGGCATCTACCATGACGAAATCGCGCTAACCCTCCTCGCCGGCCCCAATCTCTCCTCCCCACTCTCCCACTTTGTTGTCCCCGCCTTCTATCAAGGCCATCTCAAGACGGCCGAGAAGCCCGGTAACTTCAGCGGCATCTCCGGCTGGAATCGGACGCGGCTCGCCGGAGAGTCGGTGTTCCGTGTTTTGGCGAATTCGGCGTTCCGGTTCAAGGTGCTGGGATGGAAGAGTCGGCACCATGCAGTGAGTGTAGCCGGCGATGTGGAGGTTGATGCTGACGGTAAGAAGACCGCGACGAAGGGTATACGATTGTCGTCTTCCGCTGCTGTGGTTGCTCCGGTTGTTCCGAGTACCTTTTTCCTTTATGCTTTGCTGATCTTGACGTGATGCTTTAGGATTGGGCGGTTGAGATTGAATCACAGCAGCTTTGTTTATAGCTTTTGTAAAAAGAAAAAAACGTAATTATTTTTTTAAATGCTTTGACGGCTAATCAATATAATATAAAAAAAAGCACCGGAGAGAGAGTGAGAGAGAGAGATCGATCTTTGTAAATTATTCTTTAGAATGGTTAACTTTTATGATTTGAGATTTTATTTGGAATAAATTCATACTTGTTGCATCCTGGAGTATTCACGGATGTAGAGAAATATATAGTTTAGCGTCTTAGGGTTATACGAAGATCCAGCACACAAGCAGATAAGAGAGAGGGTGTAGCATTCATAAGAGATATCATAATTTTTACGTGGAAACCCCTTAAAAGGGGGAAAAACCATGGGGTCTAGCATGGGCGGATCCCCATTTAGTTGAGGGGGGGCAAATGCCCGCCCTCTTGCCCGCCCTCAAATTTTTTTTTTTTAATTTTAGTGAGATATTTTGAAATATTTTGGGTATTTTGCCCCCTCACAAAAAATTTTTTTGCCATCATTTAATCAATCCTAAGCATCTTTGCCCATCCCCACAAAAAAAAAATTTTTTTTTGCCCACCCTGAAAAAAGAAGCTGGATTCACCCCTGGGGTCTAGCTCAGTTTGAATGAATCCACTAGTATTTGCAGTCAATTACAAATGAGGTCCTTCCTTGGGAGAAGGTCTTGGCTTAATTTTACAAATGTACATCATATAGAGCACATTACATGGTGGGAATTACATATACATGTCTGTTTGATCTGCAGGACCATAATCAATAGGTTGGAGGCCAGAAAGACCGTTATCTGGTGATGGAGGTCGGCAGTATTCTGGGAGAACTCTGGGCGTCAGGTAGTGGCCCAGCAGAAGTCCGGGCCTCAGGTGGTGCTCTGGTGGAGCATAAGGCCTCAAGAGGCTGTTAGGCGTAAGTCCGAGCCTTAGGTGATGGCCTGGTGAAGCATAGGGCCTCAAGTGGTGGTTCGGCGGAGCAACGACGTCAAACGGTGGTCCGGCGGAGGTGAGGGCCTCAAGTGGTGGTCCGGTGGAAGTTCGGGCATCAGGTGGTGGCCTGGTGGAGCACAAGGCCTCAAGTGGTGGTCCGACGGAGCAACGACGTTAGGTGGTGGTCCAGCGAATGTGAGAGCTTCAAGTGGTGTTCCGACAAAAGTTCGGGCCTCAAGTGGTGGTCCGAAGGAGCAACGGCGTTAGGCAATGGTCCGGCAAAGATGAGAGCCTCAAATGGTTGTCCGGTGAAAGCGAGGGCCTCAAGTGGTAGTCCAATGAAGGTTCGGCGGTGGTCCGGCAAAACTCCGTCGGTGGTCGAGGAGGAGCTTCTTCCTTCTCTTCTTTTTGCTTTCCCCTCTCTCAAGAGAAATGAGAGGTCTATTTATAGATTTCTAGTGTCATGACCCGTAAATAGGTGAGAGATCAAGGGTAAAGGGGGAGTGCTCGAATGGACGACCGATGTTGAATCCCTTGATCATGGACCGTTTGATGGACATTTGAAGATCTAATTGGTGTCAGAATTCAGTGATATTGGGCTTGTTGGATTCATCTCGTCGAGCCGCTCGATTCGACTATAAGCTCGATATGTTTCAAGACCGTTTGGTAATCTAATTTGCTGTTCGAACCTTTCAACAACGCTTCAAACCCTTGATTTAGACTCATTTGGGCTCGGATTGAGTCGAATTTGGTGTCGTTGGGTTCGTATTTTCGAGACGCTCAGTTTGACTGTAAGTTTGCTGAAATCGGAGTTCAGGTGATCTTGAATTTAATTTTTGAAATTTTCGACTTGATTTTGCCTCGGGATTCGTGCACAATCAAGATAATTTTTTGAGGATGTATCAATATTCATATTTGATACTTAAATTTGCATATGATTGTGAATTTAGTTTAGTTGCAGCATTTATGATTAAAAAGAGGAATTTTATGTGGTATATTAGTAAATATAGAAGTTTAGATATTAAACATGTATTTTCATTAGTTTTATGTGTTATGTATGTAAAAATCCCTTTTTTTTTTTTTAATATGTGCCCTAAAACCTACACTTGGACGAGTGCTCTGAAGCGAAGAAGACCACAGGGCAACCCGCAACGCTGCAAAGCAGATCATTGATGATGAGAAATCAATAGAGAGGAAAGCATTTCTTGGAACCTTCCCGCTGGAAGTGGAAGACTTGACTGCAAATAGAGAGGAAACCATGAAAATGCATCGATCCTAGCTTTCTTCGAACCTTCCCCTGGAAGACTCGACTCCGAAGTAAACCACGGATCGCCCTGCTGCAATGGTATAAAGTATATGGGATGGTAAGAAAAGAGTCGCTCATCCTCTCCCCCCACCATATGGCTCCGAAAATGCACCCAAGCTGCCTCTCGGCCCTGAGAGCAGGCGACATGAACCGCCTCTATGAACTGCTCCAGGAAGAGCCAACACGAATCTACGGCATGACCATTAAGGGAAACACCATACTCCACATCGCCGCAAGCCTCGGCAACGCCTGGCTCATCACCCAGTTGTGCAATCACCTTGATTTGGACCTCCTGCTGCACCAGAACTTAGAAGGCGACACAATCCTCCACTGCGCCGCCCGTGCAGGGCACGACAACATCCTTTCCTTGCTGATCAATCACCACGCTGGAGGGGAAATGATGGGAGCGTTGAACCAGTGTGGGGATAGCGCTCTTCACGAAGCTGCACGCGGCGGCCATGCTAATGCAGTCAGGCAGCTTTTAGCAGCCGGAGATAATATGGCTTCGAAGGTTAACAGAGATGGAGAGTCGCCGATTTATCTAGCGGCGGAGAGGGGCTCAGTGGAGGCTGTGCAAATGTTGCTTGGGTGCGCGGTGGTGGATTATGGAGGACCTCGAGGGCAAAATGCTCTTCATGCTGCCGTCTGTCGAAGCTACGGTAAGATGGTAACCACAATGAAATTACCATTTCTATAAAAGATCAACACCATTGTTAGTTAATTTTTTTTAAGAATATTTTTAAGATCAAATCAGTAGGATAAATTTATAAAAATAAATGAACTGTAGTGTATGTTGTGGTAGCTAACTGTTGTAAGATGTTGCTCGACAAAATGCCTGAACTAAACCTAAAAAAGGATAACTCACTAAGCGTCCCCATTCACTACGCGGCTTCCCTTGGAGATGTAAACATGGTGCGTCTTCTGCTACAAGCGAACGCTAGAATAGCTCATCTCTTGGACGACCATGGCCTCTCAGCCATACACATCGCAGCAAGCAAGGACTATGCCAATGTTATCGAGGAGATACTCCACCATTGCCCAGATGCCACTGAGCTCACTGATATTGAAGGCAACAATTTTCTTCATGTTGCCACAAAGAAGAGAGCGACAACAGTGGTGAAACTAGTCCTTAGTAACCCTCTGCTCAGACAGAGCATAAATGAGACGGATCGTGAAGGAAACACGCCATTGCATTTGGCTGCAATGAACCACAGCAGGGAAATCATCCGCCTTTTGTTGTCTGATAGCAGAGTCGACACAAATGTTATAAACCGCAAGGGTCTCACTCCCCTTGATATAGCTTCATCGTGTGCTGACTCAAGTATTCGTCTCAGGATGGTACGTATAACTTCATATCAACAGTGAATTCTTTCAAGCAAAAGAAGATGCAACCTTTAGGGACAAATCAAACTCTTTATAATGGAACTGTTTTAAATATCCATTTGCAGAAGAAGATGTGCGAAGAATTGGCCTCTGCTGGTTCCAAATTTGGCACTCACCGAATAGACATCTTGATGGGTAAGGATCAACGGAGGCCAGAAGAAGAGCTTAACCGATATAGAACACTGGCAAGTAACATGGCAATAGTGGCAGTACTCGTTGCAACAGTTACATTTGCAGCTGCTTTTACCTTGCCTGGAGGTTACAGCAATGATGACAGCAATAATCAGGAACAAGGCACGGCAATTCTAGCCAAGAAATTAGCTTTCAAGGTGTTTCTTATCTCCGACACCATTTCAATGCTAAGCTCTATTAGCGTTACCTGCTTGCTAATTTGCACTGGCTCTCTAGATCACGACATAAGATTGCACTCCATCATTACTGCCATGAAGTTCATGTGGGTTGCACTAGGAGGGATGGTGGTAGCGTTCTCCATGGGAATCTATGTGGTCTTGGTCTCAAAATGCAGATGGTTGGCTGTTCTTATTTGTGGAATGGCTGCTTGTGTTCCCTTCATGGCTTGTTTGATAGCTGGTTGGCCAACTTTTGGTTCTATTAAGCTGGTGCAGAATGACAGAAATCAAAAGAGGATAGAAAGAAAAACTTCAATCTTCAATGTTAACATGCACATGCCCCATTGGATGGTGTTTGATTTTGTCACACCCGCTAGTTCAGATAAACTATTGGACCATCATCCTGTATAGTATATTTTCGCAGAAGTATTCTTTCCGGGACTTTAAATTCCATCTATATGAACTTATTCAGAAACCGGGAAAAAGAGCAGGAAAAACAGGCACAAAACTCGGTTTTCATGATTTATTATTATTATTATTATTATTATTTTGGACATGATGTCTTATTTGTTGATTTGGAATTATTTTCGAAAATCTAATCAGATTTATTTTGAAAAGATTTGATATTCAATTAATATATTATTTAGACAATTGATTATTTCTCTAAATTGTTGATTTGATTGTGTTTGATTATGGATTAGGTTTCGATGTTTTTTCTCACTTTACTTTATCTCAAATCTATAAAATAGAGTACAAGGACTGTTGTTGTATGTAAGAGAGAGCTTGAGGGTTATTGTAATTCTCTTTTTCTCAAATTTAGTGAAATCATCATCTCTCCGTGGACGTAAACATCTTCGCAGAATCACATAAATCATTGTATTTATTATATTTGTATGGTGATTTTATTTTCATTGTGATTGCTTGCACAACATTATTAGGATCTTTGGTTTACATTGATGGTCTTCTCATGATCCATAGAATCTAAAGATGACATCAATGAACTATAAGGAATCATCTTGACGAAGGAATTGAAAATTCAAGAAGGGCAAGCCGACCGGTTTTTCTCTAGCCCAACGAACAATCTCCTCAGGTACCTTATCTATAAACTGTACAATAATAAATTAGTATTATGCAACCAGGGTCATATACCCATGTTCATATATAATAAAATGAAAATGCTTAGCTTATTTGTTTGGGCCTATTAGAGATCTCCATGCCCTTAAGGATCATGGGCATCACAACAGGGCGAGCAAGCTCAACAATGCCCTTGATAAAACTCAGTAGCTTCATGCTTTATTCTATGTTGCACCATACATCAAAAAGAAGCTTGCAGATTTGAACCTGCAAAAGAAAAAAAAAAGTAATGAGTTGTTGAATGTCTTGATTCTTGTCCTTCATGCTTGTGGCTTCTTTGATTAATGGATCAAATTCTCTCACCTCCATCATGTATGAGGCTTGGTTGAAGTCAAACAATATAAATATTGGTATCTCTTATATGAGTGTTTGATCTCTTTTGTATTTATTTATGACACATCTATTGACCTCATTATTTGAGGTCAATTTCTCCTATTCAATCTTTAGCGCATAGGTTTTTGTAGCCTAGTGTAGACATTACTCTTCTAGGACTTCTCTTAGGAGGATGCCTAATGATGTAGCATCGACTTAACTCGATAACTCGACCTAAGTCAAAATCAATTCAACCCAATATGTATTTAACTCAAATCGAGTATGATTTAAAGGACAATAGCCCCGATTAGCCCGAATTGACTCAACCCGATCCATTTAAAATCGAATCGAAACTAATCATTAAATATTTTAATTCAAACAAAAATTCACTAAGTTAACACTCTAACCTTATTAAAATTAGCTCTAAATTCTTCATTGATAAATAAAATGTTAAAATCATTTAAATAAATTTCAAATAAATATATATCTTTAATCAATAAATAGCCCCGATTAGCCTGGATTGACTCACCCCGAGCCATTTAAAATCGAATCAAAACTAATCAAATTAAATATTTTAGTTCGAACCAAAATTTACTAAGTTAACACTCTAATCCTATTAAAACCAGCTCTAAATTCTTCATTGATAAATAAAATGTTAAAATCATTTAAATAAATTTCAAATAAATATATATGTTTAATCAATCAATTCTAATAGAATAAATTTACTAAAAATAAATAAATATATATCTTCTTCCCCTTGAAGGCAGGTAACCTCTTCCCCCTTCCTTCCTTGCTTCTTCTTATTCCTTTTCTCTTCTTTTATATATCTTTACTTTGAATAATTGAAGAATAGAGGAAGAAGAAAATATGGGAAGAACTTTATTAAGTGTTCTAATGTGTAGAGGATGGGTTTACCTTTAGTTAGATACCCTCTTAATAAAGTTCTTTTCTAGGAAATTAAGCTGTGTGGTATGATAGTATAATTTCAAATGGGTTATTTTGTGTCATCTCTCATGTATTATATGCTAGGTGTTTGACTAAATGCCTCAAAGGGGCTAATTTCCTAATCTTTTTCTTTGTCTTCGCTTTCATCTATACAAAACTTTAGTGTCAAATGGATAAGTGTGCACACATATACATACGCACTTATGTGATTATTTCCTTTCTTAGTGCTATTTCGATATTGTTGGCTCTTATTCTACCATAGCAACGAAGCATCAAGGATGACATGATACTCTTCTAGCAAGTCGCTTGTAGTGTTACTAGATTTTCCTCTATGGCTAATTGATGTCATGTTACCACAAATGATTATCGACATACTTTAAGTTTGCTAGGTGTTTGATTTGTAGCCAATATGTGTAATGAATTGGAATGCGAGATGAAAGCGATATTGAGTAAGTCTCTCTTGTTAATGCATGTGTTAGGTTGAAATGATAGATATGAACAACATGAGATACCTTTTCCTTTTGTAACAATGTTTTCATGAGTAATAACTTGGCAAGTTTTATATTTCAAATTTGTAGGTATGAATTGATTTAATATAGAGATGTTGGGTTTATGTTTGATAATTGTTCCATCAATGAAAGAGCGCATAAATAAGGTTATGCTTAGAGGCATTCTTCTCAAAAGGGGTTTGAAGAATTTTGTATTTGTGCTCCAATATTTTCTATAAATTACTGTTTACGAACTTGTTGTAGGTTTTATTTTGCTAAGCCTGGATGAATCTGAGCTTTATTCAATGTCAGTTAAAGAAATGAATGACCACAAAAATTTTAGAACTTTCTTTTACATACACTTGTAGTTACTTGACGCATCTGACTAAGATTAGAAAGCCTTCATATGCTTTATGTTTCATTTGAGAATTCAAGTTGAGTTGATGTAAGTTTTGCATGCCTTGTGTTGGGTGGCTTTCTTTGGGTCTAAAAGGAAGAAATCTGGTGAGCATTGTGTTAAAAAGTGTTCATGTTGCTTTATGTTGGAAGACTCTGATTTGCAGCTAAACACAGATAAATGTGTTATTTCTACCAAAACGTTTAAAAATCCCGCCCATGGTTCACAAGCTGGGTCGAGCTCGTTTATAGTGGGACGAGCGAGCTCGTTTATAGTGGGACGAGCTTGAGCTCGAGCTCGCATGTGAAGCTCAAGTTCGAGCTCGCTTTCCGACTGACGAGCCGAGCTCGATAAGGCCTAAACTTGGCTCGACTCGTTTACACGCCTAGTTGAGAGAGAGAGAGAGATCTCTGTAAATTAATTTTGAGAATGATTAACTTTTATGATTTGAGATTTTATTTAGAATATTTAGGTCAATTAAATTAATTTCTTATGATTTAGATTTTAGTTTAGTTGCAGCATTTATGATTATAAAGTTATTATTAAAACAGGTCATTGATGATGAGAAAACAGTGGAGAGGAAAATGACATGCACCCAAGCATTGAAAACAGTCGCTCTCAACCCTACATGGCCATGAAAATGGAAGAGTTGACTCCGAAGTACTGTAAACCACAGGTTGGCCTGCAACGCTATCAAGCACTGGTGATGGTAAGTAAAAAGTCGCTCTCAACCCTACATGGCCATGAAAATGGTTGTGTCAATAAGAAATCACGTCGAAAAGTCGACTACGAAAACACAAAACAAATCATAACTCGGTCAAAACTCAATATCTTTGAAAACAGAAATAGGGTTCGGAGTCCTTACCACGAGATCTTCACTTTTCCCAACAGCAGCGTCGGACGAAAAGCGCTCCGCGGCCTCCAAAACCCAAGATTCCTCTTTTTCCCTTTTCTCTTTCTCTCTCTAAAACAGATATTTTGATTTTAAAAATATTTTCTCTCTCATCAAAACGAGCTGATTTCTTTAAATCAGTTGTCTGATCGGCCCGGCCGATCGCCAAATCGTCCCGGGACGATCAGACCAGAAAAATCGTCCTGGACGATTCCCAGAACTATTCTCAGGCCGATATTTTCTACAGTGCCGATCGGCCTGGACGATTTCCAATCGTCCTGGACGATCCTGAGAGGAAAAATTTAAATCAGAGAGGAACAGTAAGGGAACGAGGTCTCACAGTTTGGTAGCAAGATTTAGGCCGGATCATTTGCCCTGAGATTTGGTTTTGCATTTTGCCGATGTGCTCAAATCCTGTTTTCATTTGCTGTGAAGTTTGGTAGCAGGTTTTAAGACGGATTATTTGCCGTGAGATTTGGCTTTGAATTTTGCCGGTGTGCTCAAATCCTACTATCATTTGCCGTGAGATTTGGTTTTGCCTGGATTTACCACTTAGTCAATTTCGCACAAATTGTCAATTGTGCATGGAGAAATTCTCTTGTTTTTAATCAATATATTGTTAATATCTTCATTAGATTATATAATATGATTATATCATCTATTGTTATTAATCAATATATTGTTAATGCCCGCTGCGATTTTGTAGAATTATCGCGGTTTAAACCTCTATTAGAAGTGATATCTACTCCAGCGGTCATAGAACCGCCGCAGAATGTGTTTGCAACACATTGCAGTCACAACGGTCGTGCATCGGCTTTGCAACCGCTACAAGAAAATTTGTAGCGGTTAAATCTGCCGGGAAAAGTCTAATTTTAATTGCGATACGGTATCCCTTTTCTATGGTAGTGTTAGTTTGGTTGGTGTGCAAATACGATTGGGAATTCTCCAACCCGTGCTCATTTCCCCTTGAGTATCAACCCTCATAAGTGGGACCCAATCAAGTTTAGGTCAGGAGGTTTTTTAGGTGAGTGTCTCTTTTAGATAAGTCAAGAATTAGTCAGGCTGTCAAATCTCATTTTCGGGGGTGGAAGCAGGTGAATAACCCGTTTCAAAAACATAAATAAATACATTTCATCAAATTTTCAATGTTAAATTTGAAAGCATTACCAATAAATAATAAATATTTTGTAATTAATTTATTTGTTATACTTTTTTTTAATATGTGCCCTAAAACCTTACACTTGGATGAGTGCTCCAAAGCGAAGAAGACCACAGGGCAACCCGCAACGCTGCAAAGCAGATCATTGATGATGAGAAAACAATACAGAGGAGAGCATTTCTTGGAACCTTTCGGGTGGAAGTGGAAGACTCTTCAAGGCTTGCAACGCTGTAAAGCGCAGGGGATGGTAAACCACGGGTTCCAAGAAAATGCATCCATCCTAGCTTCTTTGAACCTTCCCCTGGAAGACTCGACTCCTAAGTAAACCACGGATCGCCCTGCTGCAATGGTATAAAGTATATGGGATGGTAAGAAAAGAGTCGCTCATCCTCTCCCCCCACCATATGGCTCCGAAAATGCACCCAAGCTGCCTCTCGGCCCTGAGAGCAGGCGACATGAACCGCCTCCATGAACTGATCCAGGATGACCCAACACGATTATACGGCATGACCATTAAGGGAAACAGCATACTCCACATCGCCACAAGCCTCGGCAACGCCTGGCTCATCACCCAGTTGTGCAATCAACTTGATTTGGATTTCCTGCTGCACCAGAACTTAGAAGGCGACACAATCCTCCACTGCGCCGCCCGTGCAGGGCACGACAACATTCTTTCCTTGCTCATCAAAAACTGGTTTGGAGGGCTAATGATGGGAGTGTTGAACCAGCGCGGGGATAGCGCTCTGCACGAAGCTGCACGTGGCGGCCATGCTAATGCTGTATGGCAGCTTGTAGCTGCTGGAGATAATATGGCCTCAAAGGTTAACAGAGATGGAGAGTCGCCGATTTATCTAGCGGCGGAGAGAGGCTCAGTGGAGGCCGTGCAATTTTTGCTTGGGTGCGAGGTGGTGGATTATGGAGGACCTCGAGGGAAAAATGCTCTTCATGCTGCCGTCTGTCGAAGCTATGGTAACCGAAATTTCCATTTCTATAAAAGATCAACACCTTTATCAGTTAAATTTTTTTTAAGAATATTTGTAGGATCAAATCAGTAGGATAAATTTATAAAATTAAATAAACTGTAGTGTATGTTGTGGTGGTAGCTAACTGTTGTAAGGTCTTTAGATATTGCGAAGATGTTGCTCGACAAAATGCCGGAACTAAACCTAAAAACGGATAACTCCCTAAGCGCCCCCATTCACTATGCGGCTTCCCTTGGAGATGTAAAAATGGTGCGTCTTCTGCTACAAGCGGATGCTACAATAGCTCATCTCTTGGACGACCATGGCCTCTCAGCCATACACATCGCAGCAAGCAAGGACTATGGCAATGTTATCGAGGAGATACTCCACCATTGCCCAGATGCCACTGAGCTCACTGATATTGAAGGCAACAATTTTCTTCATGTTGCTACAAAGAAGAGAGCGACATCAGTGGTGAAACTAGTACTTAGTAACCCTCTGCTCAGACAGAGCATAAATGAGAAAGATCGTGAAGGAAACACGCCATTGCATTTGGCTGTAATGAACCACTCCAGGGAAATCGTCCTTCTTTGGTTGTCGGATAGCAGAGTCGACACAAATGTTATAAACCACAATGGTCTCACTCCCCTTGATATAGCTTCATCATGTGCTGACTCAAATATTCGTCTCAGGATGGTACGTATGACTTCATATCAACAATGAATTCTTTCAAGCAAAAGAAGATGCAACCTTTAGCTACAAATCAAACTCTTTATAATGGAACTGTTTTAAATATCCATTTGCAGAAGAAGATGTGCGAAGAATTAACCTCTGCTGGTTCCAAGTTTGGCACTCACCGAATGGACATCTTGATGGGTAAGAATCAACGGAGGCCAGAAGAAGAGCTTAACCGATATAGAACACTGGCAAGTAACATGGCAATAGTGGCAGTACTCATTGCAACAGTTATATTTGCAGCTGCTTTTACCTTGCCTGGAGGTTACAGCAATGATGACAGCAATAACCAGGAACAAGGCATGGCGATTCTAGCCAAGAAATTAGCTTTCAAGATGTTTCTTATCTTCGACACCATTTCAATGCTAAGCTCTATTAGCGTTACCTTCTTGCTAATTTGCACTGGCTCTCTAGATCACGATATAAGATTGCACTCCATCATTACTGCCATGAAGTTCATGTGGGTTGCACTAGGAGGGTTGGTGGTAGCGTTCTCCATGGGAATCTATGTCGTCTTGGTCTCAAAATGCAGATGGTTGGCTGTTCTTATTTGTGGAATGGCTGCTTGTGTTCCCTTCATGGCTTGTATGATAGCTTGTTGGCCAACTTTTGGTTCTATTAAGCTGGTGCAGAATGACAGAAATCAAAAGACCATAGAAAGAAAAAATTCAATCTTCAATGTTAACATGCACATGCCCCATTGGATGGTGTTTGATTTTGTCACACCCTTTGCTTCAGCCAGCTAGTTCAGCAAAACGTTTGGAACATCCTATATAGTATATTTTCGCAGAAGTATGCTTTCCGGGACTTTAAATTCCATCTATATGAACTTATTCAGAAACTGGGAAAAAGAGCAGAAAAAACAGGCACAAATCTCGGTTTTCATGATTTATTATTATTATTATTATTTTGGACATGATGTCTTATTTGTTGATTTGGAATTATTTTCGAAAATCAAATCAGATTTATTTTGAAAAGATTTGATATTCAATTAATATATTATTTAGACAATTGATTATTTCTCTAAATTGTTGATTTGATTAGGGATTAGGTTTCGATATTTTTTCTCAGTTCACTTTATCTCAAATCTATACAATAGAGTACAAGGACTGTTGTATTATGTAAGAGAGAGCTTGCGGGTTATTGTAATTCTCTTGTTCTCAAATTTAGTAAAATCATCCCCTCTTCGTGGACGCAAATATCTTCACATAATCACATAAATCATTGTATTTATTATATTTGTATGGTGATTTTATTTTCATTGTGATTGTTTGCACAACATTATTAGGATCTTTGGTTTACATTGATGGTCTTCTCATGATCCATTGAATCTAAAGATGACATCAATGAACTATAAGGAATCATCTTGACAGAGGAATTGAAAATTCAAGAAGGGCCAGCCGAACGGTTTTTCTCTAGCCCAATGAACAATCTCCTCAGGTACCTTATCTATAAACTGTACAATAATAAATTAGTATTATGCAACCAGGGTCATATACCCCTGTTCATATATAATAAAATGAAAATGCTTAGCTTATTTGCTTGGGCCTATTAGAGATCTCCATGCCCTTAAGGATCATGGGCATCACAATAGGGCGAGCAAGCTCAACAATGCCCTTGATAAAACTCAGTAGCTTCATGCTTTATTCTATGTTGTACCATACATCAAAAAGAAGCTTGCAGATTTGAACCTGCAAAAGAAAAAAAAAAGTAATGAGTTGTTGAATGTCTTGATACTTGTCCTTCATGCTTGTGGCTTCTTTGATTAATGAATCAAATTCTCTCACCTCCATCATGTATGAGGTTGGTTGAAGTCAAACAATATAAATCTTGGTATCTCTTCTATGAGTGTTTGATCTCTTTTGTATTTATTTATGACACATCTATTGACCTCATTATTTGAGGTCAATTTATCCGATTCAATCTTTAGCGCATAGGTTTTCGTAGCTTAGTGTAGACATCACTCTTCTAGGACTTCTCTTAGGAGGATGCCTAATGATGTAGCATCGACTTAACTCGATAACTCGATCTAAGTCAAAATCAATTCAACCCAATATGTATTTAACTCAAATCGACTCATCTCAAATCGAGTATGATTTAAAGGACAATAGCCCCGATTAGCCTGGATTGACTCACCCCGAGCCATTTAAAATCGAATCAAAACTAATCAAATTAAATATTTTAGTTCGAACCAAAATTTACTAAGTTAACACTCTAATCCTATTAAAACCAGCTCTAAATTCTTCATTGATAAATAAAATGTTAAAATCATTTAAATAAATTTCAAATAAATATATATCTTTAATCAATAAATTCTAATAGAATAAATTTACTAAAAATAAATAAATATATATCTTCTTCCCCTTGAAGGCAGGTAACCTCTTCCCCCTTTTTTTTTATTTTTTAACCTCTTCCCCTTCCTTCCCTGCTTCTTCTTATTCCTTTTCTCTTCTTTTATATATCTTTACTTGGACTAATTGAAGAATAGAGGAAGAAGAAAATATGGGAAGAACTTTATTAAGTGTTCTAATGTGTAGAGGATGGGTTTACCTTTAGTTAGATACCCTCTTAATAAAGTTCTTTTCTAGGAAACTATGTGTGGTATGATAGTATAATTTCAAATGGGTTATTTTGTGTCATCTCTCATGTATTGTATGCTAGGTGTTTGACTAAATGCCCCAAAGGGGCTAATTTCCTAATCTTTTTCTTTGTCTTCGCTTTCATCTATACAAAGCTTCAGTGTCAAATGGATAAGTGTGCACACATATACATACGCACTTATGTGATTATTTCCTTTCTTAGTGCTATTTCGATATTGTTGGCTCTTATTCTACCTTAGCAATGAAGCATCAAGGATGACATGATACTCTTCTAGCAAGTCACTTGTAGTGTTACTAAATTTTCATCTATGGCTAATTGATGCCATGTTACCACAAATGGTTATCAAGATACTTTGTTTTCTAGATGTTTGATTTGTAGCCAACATGTGTAATGAATTGGAATGCGAGATGAAAGCGATATTAAGTCTCTCTTGTTAATGCATGTGTTAGGTTGAAATGATAGATATGAACAACTTGAAATACCTTTTCCTTTTGTAATATGTTTTCATGAGTAATCACTTGGCATGTTTTATATCTCAAATTTGTAGGTATGTATGGATTTAATATAGAGATGTTGGGTGTTGGGTTTATGTTTGATAATTGTTCCATCAATGAAAGAGCGCATAAATAAGGATATGCTTAGAGGTATTCTTGTCAAAAGGGGTTTGAAGAATTTTGTATTTGTGCTCCAATATTTTCTATTAATTAATGTTTACGAATTTGTTGTAGGTTTTATTTTGCTAAGCCTGGATGAATATGAGCTTTATTCAATGTGAGTTAAAGAAATGAATGAGCACAAAAATTTTAGAACTTTCATTTACATACATACACTTGTAGTTACTTGACGCATCTCACTGAGATTAGAAAGCCTTCATATGCTTTATGTTTCATTTGAGAATTCAAGTTGAGTTGATGTAAGTTTTGTGTGCCTTGTGTTAGGTGGCTTTCTTTGGGTCTAAAAGGAAGAAATGTGGTGAGCATTGTGTTAAAAAGTGTTCATGTTGCTTTATGTTAGAAGACTATGATTTGCAGCAAAACACTTAAAAATTCCGCCCATGACTTGCAAGTCGGGTCGAGCTCGAGCTCAAGCTCGCTTGTCGAGTTCGAGTTCGAGCCCGCTTTCCGACTGACGAGCCGAGCTCGATAAGGTCTAAACTCGACTCGTTTACACCCTTAGTGGAGAGAGAGAGAGAGATCTTTGTAAATTAATTTTGAGAATGGTTAACTTTTATGATTTGAGATTTTATTTAGAATATTTAGGTCAATTAAATTAATTTCTTATTATTGAGATTTTAGTTTAGTTGCAGCATTTATGATTATATAATCATAAATGCAAAAACATTTGTTTAAACATTAATAATTATTATAATATATAATATACAAAAATTCCATTTGTAAACATAAACTACATTTACCTATTTCTAATGAAAATTTTATTTTATAATAATTAAAAAAGCCATCAAAAACTAAAAAAAAAAATTAGAGTCAGTAATCAGCCTAATTGGCAACTATTATAATTACTTTTAAATCATTAACCATGCATAACAAATATAAATTATTTCTTCAAAACTTTTTTCTCACAACGAAAAAAGACTTAAATTGAGAAAGTTAAAAAATATACATATGCTAAAATTTTTGATTTGCCAATCACACATTCAAGAGAGGCCTACCATTTAAAGCCGAATTAAAAGTTCATGAAAATATTATGCATTATTCATATAATATCTTAGGAATTTTAAAATAAATTTCACCAAAATTTCAATTTTAAATTTGAAAGCATTATTCATATATATTTTTTAATGTGTTCCCTAGAACCTGCCCCTTGGACGACTGGACTCTGAAGAAGACCACAGGTCAACCCGCAACACTGCAAAGCAGATCATTAATTATGAGAAAGCAATAGAGAGGAAAGCTTTTCTTGGAAGCTTCTCGCTGGAAGTGGAAGACTTGACTCCGAAGTACTGTAAACCACATGAAAATGAATCTTAGCTTTCTTCGATCCTTCCTGCTGGAAGACTCGATTCCGAAGTAAACCACGGGTCGCCCTGCAATGTTATAAAGCAGATGGAATGGTAAGAAAAAAGTCGCTTATCCGCTCATCACCCCTCCATATGGCCGCCAGAATGCACCCAAGCTGCCTCACGGCCCTGAGAGCGGGCAACATGGCCCGCCTCCGTGCGCTGCTCCAGGATGACCCAACACGATTCTACGGCATCACCGTTAAAGGAAACAGCATCCTCCATATCGCCGCAAACCTCGGCAACGACTGGCTCATCACCAAGGCGTGCAATGACTCCCAATGGGACCTCCTGCTGCACAAGAACTTAAAAGGCGACACGATCCTCCACTGCGCCGCCCGTGCAGGCCACGACCAGATCCTATCATTGCTGATCGATCATGGAGCAGGATTGCAAATGACGGGAGTGTTAAACGAGCGCGGGGATAGCGCTCTGCACGAAGCTGTACGCGGCGGCCATGCTAAAGTTGTCCGACAACTTTTAGCTGTTGGAGAGAACATGACCTCCATGGTTAACGGAGATGGAGAGTCTCCGCTTTATCTAGCAGCGGTGAGGGGCTCGGTGGAGATTGTGAAAATGTTGCTTGGATGTGCGGAGGTGGATTATAGAGGACCTCGAGGGCAAACTGCTCTGCATGCTGCCGTCTGCCGAAGCTATGGTAACCGCCACGAATTTCCCATTTCTATAAAAGATCAACATCTTTTTAGCAATATTTGTATTTTGTAGGATTAAATTCGCTGGAGATGCTCATAGTCACATAATCACCAAGACTATTACATAGAAATCCCTTAAAGAACATAGAATCTCTCACTCTGAGTTATGTTTTTATAGCTTCGTTCAACTCCCCTTTCTTGTTAGGAGTTTAGATAGTAACTATGAAATAATTATGATGTAATGCGAAATGTCAGGACTTCTATGGTTATTTTTTTAAATCAAAATTTAGATCATTATGAATTTGTATAAAAGCTCTCCACAAATCGTTTTTTTTTCCACCTGTAACGAAGAATTTGACTTGAAAGATGTAGACATAAATTTAGATCGATCTAAACAAACATACTACAAGTATAAACAAATTATAAAAAGATTTTAAGGTCTTCGATATTGCAGAGATGTCCAAGCAAAACTAAAAATAAAAAAAATTTACCTTTTTTTGCATGTCGTGGTAGCTAACTCTTGTAAGGTCGGTCTTCAGATATTACGCAGATGCTACTGGAAAGAATGCCGGCACTAAACCTACAGGCGGATGCCTCCCTAAGCGCCCCCATTCACTACGCAGTTTCCCTTCGAGATGTAAAGATGGTGCGCCTTTTACTGAAAGCGAACGCTACAATAGCTCATCTCTTGGACGACAAGGGCCTCACAGCCATCCACATAGCAGCAAGCAAGGGCTATACGAAAGTTATTTGGGAGATACTCTGCCATTGCCCTGATGCCACTGAGCTCACTGATTATGATGGAAACAATTTTCTTCATGTTGCTGCAAAGAAGGGAGCGAGAATAGTGGTGAGACAAGTTCTTAGAAATCCTCTACTCAGACAGAGCATAAATGAGACAGATCATGAGGGAAACACACCATTGCATTTGGCTGCAATGAACTGCAAGTGGAAAATCGTTCGCCTTTTGCTGTCAAATAACATAGTCGATAAAAATGTTATAAACTGCAAGGGTCTCACTCCCCTTGATGTAGCTTCATCAATTGATGCCTCCAAATTTCGCTTCAGGAGGGTACGTATGACTTCATATCAACAAATGAATTAAAGTAATTATTTTAAGCAAATGGAGTTGAAGCCTTTAGAAACAACTCAAACTCTTTTAATGAAACTCTTTTAAATGTCCATTTGCAGAGGATTATGTTAAAAAAATTGAACTCTGCTGGCACCAAATTTGGTCCTCACCGAATGGACATCATGATGCCTGAGGATCAAGATTATCCAGAAGAAGAGCTTGACAGACATAGAGCAATGGCAAATAACCTTGCAATAGTGTCAGTACTCATTGCAACAGTTACATTTGCAGCCGCTTTCACATTGCCTGGAGGTTATAGCAATGATGACAGTAACCAGGGACAAGGCATGGCGATTCTAGCTAAGAAAGTAGCTTTCAAGGTGTTCCTTATCTCTGATACCATTGCAATGGCAAGCTCTATGTGCATAACCTTCTTGCTAATTAGTAGTAGCTCTCCAGAGCGCGACCAAAGATTGAGCGTCATCATTACTGCCCAGTTTTGCGTACAGGTTGCACTAGTAGCAATGTTGGTGGCATTTTCCATGGGCATTTATGTGGTCGTGGTTTCACAATGCAGATGGTTGGCTGATCTTATTTGTGGAATGGCTATTTGTACTCCCTTTATTATTTTGTGGTCATCTAGTTTCATAAAGGTTAACTATCCTTAAATATGCAAATGAACCTAGCTTAGTTTATCATAAGCTCGTTCATATTCGAGCTCAATTTTGAACTTTTATATTTGTGTTTAATCTTGGTTCATTTAAAATGACATATGTTTATATTTAGTTCAACGTTCGATTTTTTAGTGCTCATCGAGGTTTAAACGAGCGGCTCGTTTAAATTAACAAACGAGCCTTATCAAGCTATATCGAAATGAAGATTAGCTTAACAAATGAATTTTACCAAGATTACTAATAAGTATTAACATTTATATCGAGCCTGTTAATAAACATATTTATCAAGCTTTCTTTAGCCCATAAACAAGCAAGCTTATCGAGCTTTCTCCAACCCATAAACGAATTGCTTGTCAAGCTCATAAATGATACTTTTAATAAAATATATTTTTAATGAACCCTAAAATCAAATAGTCCATCAAACATTAACAAATATGTTATGATCTTGAATAAACTCTTTCTATAATGAGACTTAATCAATATTTATATATAATATTATACGAGGTTCTTATAGAACAAGTATTCATTTTGTCAACAAGCTTTTTAACATGTTTCTTATCGAACGTGTTCATGAGTGTCAAACGATGTTGTTCATAAGCATAAACAAGTCGAATGCATAGTTGCTTAAGCTTATTTATTTAATCACCGAATATTTTAAAAAAAAATGTTCAAGTTTTTTAATTATTTAATCATACGATTATGAATGAGTAATGATCGAGCCGAGGCACGAGTAACTTGTTGAGTGCTTAATTTGTTTGCAACCCTTATTTTGGTATATTTAAGGTGGGGCAAAATGTTAACATGTACATGGTTGATTTTGTCACATCCTATTAGAGGCCACCAAGCCCATAAAGGTCATGAGTATCACAATAGTGCGAGTAAGCTCAACCATGCCCTTTATAAAACTCAATAGCTCCATGGTTTATTCTATGGGACAAATTTTAAATATAGTTAAGGTGATAAATAAAATTAAATTAATAATATTAAAAAAATTAACTTAGTTGTAGTGTAACAATCCAAAAAATAAGAAAAGTATTTTAAAATGAAAAATGCAAAACCTATGAATTTTATGTATGAAGTGGAGTGCAATGGTGTTGTGTTTGGTAGCGCTGCAACGATATGCATAAGAGTAGATCAGCGCCAGAAAATGACATTGTGGTGCTTGTGTCTCTGTTCTACATTAACTCTAAAATCGACATGTAGTGTTTTGGTGCTGAGTCTGAGCTCGCTGCTTACCTTGGTTGTGAAGAAACCAATGTAAAAGAAGGGAGAGGGGAAGAGAAAGAGCAGAGATAGAGGAAAAAAGATTAAACTTATTTGACCATTATCCCCGCGCTCTCTTTTCCTCTCTCTTCCATTCTCCTCCCCCTTCATTTTCTTTCTCTATGCTTTGATGTCAAAATCAAGAGGACTCTATAAATGCTATGACAAATTCCTCATCTCAGTCGGCAAGCTGTCAACCTTGCCGACTTGTACCGTTCTCACCTTTTGGATCTCCTTCTAAAAGCATACTTAGCAATATGAGAAATTTTTATTTGCGGTCACCAGAGGTCAATTAGGACCTGCCATATCACCA